ACCTGAACGGAGGTACTGACAGCTCCAGTTGAGAGGAAGGAGTTGGTGGTGGTGGTGTGTGCATGTACGTGTGTGTGTGTGTGTGTGTGTGTGTGTGTGTGTGTGTGTGTGTGTCTATTTACATATGTTTGCAGGTACAAATGGTGACCAAAGGTTACTTTGGGATGTCATTTCTCGAGTGCTATTCACCTTGTGTTTTTTTATTTGGTTGTTTTGTTTTGTTGTTGTTTTTCGAGAGGTCTCTTGCTGGCCTGGAATGCACCAAGTAGGCTAGGCTGGCTGGTCAATGAGCCCCACGGATCCTCCCGTCTCCACAGCATACACCACTACCCCTGGCTTTTTGATGTGGGTCCTAGGGAACTCACCCAGATCTCATGCTTAGAAGCCAAGAACTTAACCAACAGAGCCTTCTACCCAGCCCCTCAACTTTGGTAGAGCTTGTTGTTTGAGTCAGGGCCTCACTGCAGGAGCCCTGGCTGGCCTGGAACTCACTATGGAAACCACACTGATCTTGAACTCACAGAGATTCACCTGTCTCTGCCTCCTGAGTGCCGGGTTCAAAGGTGTGCACCACCACACCCATCACCAATTTTGTGTTTTAATTTTTTTCTTTTCTTTTTAGTGGCAAATGCTCATTGAAAATAGTAACGGCTTTCATAGACATTTTCAAATAAGTACATCTGTGCCTCGACCACACCTACGTGCCCTCCCTTTTCTCCCCTCCCCCCCATAATTCCCATTCATCCCCACAGACTCCCTTCTACTTTCTCATACCACATGGGGTGTGACTTTATGTGCCCATATAAAACCTATGACTTAACGTGTGCATATAAAACTGAGGATCTACAGAGGAGAGGAAATAAGTGATATTTGTCTCTCTGAAGCAGACTGATTTCACTTAACTGGGACTTTTTTTCCTCCCATGCCAGCAAGTAAAAATGAGACAGCCATTCCAGATGTCCCCAAAGGTGGCCAATATCTCCATGGGGAGGGGGGGTACAACTTCCTTGCCTGCTCTGTCTTCCCCAATACCAGGCACCTCTGCGACCAACAGCGGGAGCTTCCACAGAGCAGACTCGAGACGAGAAAAACTCCCACCAAACAGAATAGCTCATGAGAGGCACAACTTTCCCCTTGGCAAGAGACACAGCCCTATGTTCCTAGGTCTAAGCCAACACCAAAGACCAAGAACTCAGGGCCTGCAAGAGGCACCTCTCTGGCTTCATCTGCAAAATGGAACACAGAGGTGCCTACCCCAAGAGGATTGTTGCAATTGTTGCAAGTCAGTGACGCCACAGTTAGAAAGGGCTCAGGGTAGTCCACAGGCAGAGCCAGCCTATGTCACTACTGATTCCAGGACACCTTCGAGAGGAAAAACTAGAGGCTGTGGAGATGGCCTAAAGTGTTTACGGGCAAGCCTGAGGACCTGAGTTCAATCCCAGGCACCCACCTAAAAAGCCAGGTGCAGCAATGCACTCTGTAACCCCAGCACCCCAGAGACAGAGGATCCCTTCGGCTCGCTGGCCAGACAGTCTAGACTAATTGGTGAGCTCCAGATCCAGTAAGAGGCTGTCTCAAAAAGCAAGGAAGAGTGATCGCCTGATGTTGACCTCTGACCTCCATATGCATACACACAACCAGTAGGAGCAGAGAACAAGAAACCACAAAGGACCGGGAGGCAGGTATGCACGCACGCGCGTGACAATATTTGCCCTTTATTTTTTTTAAAGCATTATTTGGGAGGGGTGCACATGACATGGAATGCAGATGGAAGTTGCGTGGCTTAGCCCCCCTGTAAACATCTTCACCCACAAGTATAAATGGAAGCCCTCGCCCACCTGCAGAGGCGCGTGCTCTCTGGTGCTCCTAGCAGAAAAGGCTCGTGGAGCCTGCCACACAGAGTGCGGCCCCGGGAGCTCCCACTCGCATCGGCACCCGCACCCTTCTGACTCCTGTGCCTATTTTTCAGGTTGGGCCCCTTTCAGTCAAAGGACTGTGGTTGTCAGAGCCTGGGACTCCTTAAGTGGCAAACGCCTTAGCCAGCAAAGCGCTAGGTGTGAGGTTAGAAAGTCCAGGGCAACGAGCGGACTGAGTTTTAGTCCCACACAAGTTCACACCTTCTGCCTGGCCCCAGCATCCCGAACCTGCCGCTGAGCTGTGCCCAGAAACGCCTTCCTGCTCTGGACCACTTCCTCCCCAAGAGCTGCGGGGGGGGGCACCTAAGCCCCCCCTCCCCTCCTCCTCCTCCTCACAGACCAAGGGCCATAGCCTGCGGGAAAATGGACTCTCTCCACCCTCCTCAAAGGACCTGGAGAGAAAGGGCTACCCGGAACTCTGAGAAGCAAACTCAAGGGCTTTACTGGCCGAGACCACCCTCCCAGACTCCGAGCCAGCAAATGAGGGGCTTCTTTTTGTCCGGATCATGGCAACCGCTGCGCTCTTTGTTGGCTCCAGTCACCGAAGTGGAGCTCCTGAGGAAGCCCCGCGCTTCCTGGTCCCTGCCACTGGCGGGAGGAGGGGCGCCAGATGATTTACTCTGGGAAGGTCCCCAATGCCATTAAATCACTGGAGGCTGCGACAGAATTAGCATTTTCCCCTACTCCCACTTCCCCACATCACAGAGCCACCCCTTCTCAAGACCCTGTGTAATGAGAAACAAATAGACCACTCGCCACTGCACGGGGACCGGGCAAGGCTAAGCCCTGGGACTTGCAAGCCAACAGCGCCGTCCCTACAATTGCAAACTTGTCACTAGCAAGGCTCTGGGAGGGAGCACCCTACCCACCCCACTTCACAGACAACCCCCCCCCGAAAAGCATCAAGGGTCAACAAAGCAAGGCTTGTCGATTTCCCCCAGGGGACGTGATCTGTAACTACATCACTAATTTCCAAAGCCACAGCATGCATAAACATCGTTTGAATGATGGGGCCCCCTGGTCGCTAAGCCGGAGGATTTGTGCTGACTCCAAGTACAATTCCGTATGCTTCAGCCCTCACGAGGCTCCAAGAAGTCCGCCCACCACTCTCCTTCCCGGGGTAACTGCCCACGCAGAAAGGGGGCACAGGCGACAGCGCTCGCGTGCCATGGGAGCATCTCCTCAAAGCTGAAGTCTCCCAAGCCCCTCTCCCAGGATCTCAGCCAGTCCAAGGTTGGTCCAGAAATGATCTGGAAAATGCAGCCAGTTCTAGACGAAGCTGGTTAACTCCCAACCAACCAAGTGTAGGCAGCTCTTTCAGGAACATCACCCCTGCTTTGGAGCTAAATATAGATTTAGCAAACTGTGTTCTCTTTATGTCCCTGGTGAGAACCGGTGGAAGGCATAGGCGACCAAGGACCCCAAGCATGGAAAAACTCTGCCTTGGTGGCTATGCTGACAGCGTCCTCAGAGGGCTAGGGATGGGTTCCCAAGGATGGCACATCCTCCCTCCCACCACAAGCCGCTCAGAGCCATGCACAGGCTTTTCCGTGGCTGGGTGGGGCTGGACTGGGTGAGGGGACTCGTTCGGGCACAAGACAAGAGAAAGGCAGCTTCCTCCTCCAAGGTTTCCCAGAACCGCTCTTGAACACAGCCAGGCGAACGCTGACCCCCATAGAGAGAGAAAATAGCCACAACACTGCAATTTTCAAGTCCGAGGGACTGTGCACTTTGGCAAACGCGTCTCAGGGCTTCCGCTCTGAGGAAGCGGCCTGGACCCCGTCAGTGCCCCACTCCAGGCCGCAGATCAGTGCCAAGAGCCAAACAGCTCGCGGCTGCTCATTAACCACGCCAAGGAAGAGCTCTCCACTTTAAGACCAGTGCCATCCTCCCGGGGCCCAGCCAAAGCCCAGGGCCGGCCACTATCTCTCCAAGTGGAAAGTCTTAGTAAATATTTGGGGTCACTTGAGGGCATCTGGGAGGAAGGCAATATTTACTTTTTCCCCATGCACAGTCATCCTTATAAACAAGTCGGCATCCAGGCTTGCTCCTAAGTGAGACCTCACCCAGGCAGTCAGAGCCGCAAAGTTAAGGTTGCGTTTTTTCCTTCTGCATTCTGGGTATCTGTGTGGTTGGTTGATTTAGGAACCGGGAAGGAATGCTCTCGGTCTAAAGCTACCTGCTCCCAAAAACGTGTGTTTTAAAGGTCTGGGGAACACAACCCTCGCGCGCACATGAACATGGCTCGTGACTGTCGCTTCTTCCCAGCCTTTAGAATTGTCTCCACTTGCCTCGGGTGGAGGAGGGGGAGGTACTGTCATTTTAGGATAAGCTTCCTCTACAACCAACATGTAGCAACACTGAGGTGGCCGAGCTGAGCCAGCTCCAGCCCAGGCTGCAAACAGCAAATACCTAGCTATTCTGACTTCCCGGTTCGCGGGCTTTAGGCGACAGCTGCGCTGGTCCCAGCCTGGAGCTCGGCTCCCCGATCCCGGGGCAAAGGCTTTGAACATCTACACGTTAGACATCACCAGATGCCTGCACGAACGACCCGGGGTTGCTGAACCATGCTCCCGGATCCTGCCGGCCCACGGGTCAGAGCGCTGGGGTGACCTGCGCTTCCAGGGGGCGAGCGGTGGGGTCACCTGGTTGCCTTCGGGAGCCACTTGGGGGAGTGGGTGCCTTTAGGAGGCTGGAGACAGAAGGACAACCAGGTGCGGGAGGGACTATGGCCAAACCAGACATCGCCGGCCGAGACGACCTCCAGGCCCCGCAGGTGTCCAGGCAACAGGACAGCGAGCGGTCCACGGTCACTGGGCCACGACATCCCCCGCAGCCCCCGGGGCCCAGGTGCCCGGCCGAGTGAGGAGGGGAATCTGGGGAGCCCTGCCTGTGGCTTCCGGAGCCCCAAAGGGATGCGAAGGGCAGCTGGGACTGGAGAGGAGGCAAAGGGGACGCGCGCGGGGCTTGGGCCGCCCAGTGCTTCCCAGCCCCGCCAAGAGCAGGAGGCGGCGGTCGCCCGGGACTTGGGACCCAGGCAGCAACTTTGCGCGCGGGGTCGGGGAGGGGACGCGGCCGCGTTACCTGCGCAGCGGAGCGCGCTCAGCGCCAGCAGCAGCCCGAGCGACGCGGCCGGGGCCCGCATGGTCCTCCGGGGAGCCGGCGCCGGGCTCCGCTCGCTCCTGCGCCGCCGCCTCCCACACCTCTCGGCTCCGCGCTCGGCCGCCGGCTGCAGACGGCGCCCGGGATCAGCGCCCGCCCGCCCTGCACTTGGCCCGAGTTGCGCGGCCCCCGCCGGCGCCGCGGCTCCTGCGCCCTAGCGCGCGTCCCATCCCGCCGCCGCCTCGGCCAGCGCCAGCTGCCGGCCGCCCCTCAAGCCAGCGCGAGAGTGAGCGAGCCGAGCAGGGAGGAGGGGAGGGAGGAGGGAGGAGGAGGGGAGCAGCCAGGAGGAAAGAGGAGGGAGGAGGACAGGAAAGGAGGAGGAGGGAGAAGGGGAAGGGAGGAGGGAGGAGGAGGGAACGGGAGGAGGAGGAATGGGGCTGGAAGGAGGAGGATGGAGTTGAGAGGCGAGGAGAAAGGGAAGGGGAGGGAGGAAGAAGAGGAATGGGGTCTAGAAGGAGGGAGGAAGAACGCACCCGGGGATAGAAAATGATAGAGAAAGGGGAGGCGGGAGGTGCCCCTCCCCTGCCCCAGGGCCAAGACACCAGGCGGCCACCCAGCGGTTAAGCAGCGGGATGTGCCACTCAATCCCAGGGTAGGGGGCAGGGCCGCAGAGGCCTGTGGAGACCAGAGCAGGTAGTCTCCTAGGGACAGAGAGACAGCGCAGAGTGTTAACTGGGTTCCCAGGGTGTGTTGGGAGTGCAACAATGGGCGTCCCCGAGGTCGAGAGGCAAAGCAACTACAGGAGGGCTCGCAGAAGACGAGTCTGCGAGGGACAGATTGCGACAAGGCACTTGATGGATGAGGTGCGGCCTGAGGGCCCTCAAGAGTGTCTGCCAGCACAGGGCAGACCAGGGCTCTCGTAGGGTGCTGGGTGTCTGCAGTGTGTTAAGCCCGTGCTACGAATTCCCCACCAGGGCGAGTCATCCATTCGTCCACGAGGTGAGCCAGGCTTCAGCCAGCATGGAAATGCAGTCGCAGGTAACAGAGGCCCAGAAACTACAGTCCGTCTGGAAGCACGGCTCCTAGGCGACAGGTTGAAGCAGGGACTTCTCTAGTCACCCTAAGAGACCCTAGAAGTTCCCTCCACCAGGCTGCAAGGCCAGTTGCTGTGGAGTCCGCCTACCTGGGTCCTGCTCTGCCTACCTCATCACACCTGCCACCAGTGTCTAGTGCCCCGGCTTTGGGTGGAAAAAACAGGTCAAACTTCAAATCGGTGAGCTGGGGTGATGCAGACTTCAGATCAGTGTCCTTAGCTGAGAACACAGCTCTGCCTGTAGAACCTAGGGCAGCCAGAACTCAGAAGCCTCAGTTTCCCAACCTGAAACACCATGGAAGTCCTGGCTACCTCTAGCTGGTGTCCCCAGTAATACTCAGGAAACCCCTGACCTGATCCGCCACCAAGGACAGCACGCACCCTCACGCTCCCCGGGGCAGCCATTAGCACTGGTGTCTGATTTCCCTCCAAGGGCGGGCATCGGAACACTGCAGCCTTCCCAGCTGGTGATGGGGTTGGCAGACCCTGCTTCATTAGGAGGGGCTCATTAGCCCAGGAAGAAAAGAGCAAGAAGCAGGTGCCTGGTCCTAGGCCAGGTTGGTTACCAGGAAGGAATTGGGCTCTGCCTTCCACGGGAGCCTATGTCCTGGCCAAGGCGCTCCTGGAAACAGCATCAGCGGCTGGAGAGCGGCTTCTCCCTGGGTTTGGAGAGTCTATCTGTCCCCTGTCAGGGACTGTGCCTGTGGGGGTGCTGCCCAGCCTTGGGACCTTCAGTGTGTTGCTCCTGACACCCCCCCTCACTTCCTCATGAGTACTGCTGAGTTGAGCACCTACTGTGTGCAAGGCCTAGGCTGAATGGTGTTGGCTCAGAAAGGAAATGCAACAGGCCCGCCTCTCCTGAGGATCAGGGGGGTAAAGGGCAGCCCCATGGTGCAGGTACCTCAGGCTGCAAACACAGCCGCAGGAAGGCCATGGTGGACTTGAACGGGAGCTAGGATCTGTGACCCAAGAGAAATTAATGTTATAAAAAAGGGGGGTCAGGACAGACTTTGATGATCCCCCATGGAAGGCCTCACCCTTCCTATGGTGCAGATGAGGGATGGGATGGGGGTAGGTGGGGGGCATGGGAGGATGGGAGGGAGAGGGAACTGGGATTGATATGCAAAATAAGATTGTTTCTAATTTAAGTTTAGAAAGGAATAAGGGGGGTCAGGAGTGGTTCTGTGCCTTCATTGGTGGAGGGATAGCATGGCGGAAGGCCACAAGCCAAGACTCAGAAGCTCCCAGGTGTGATAGGAGGCATCAGCTACCTTACCTTCCCCCACACACTTCCACTCAGAGGCGCCCCATCACGCCCAGAGAGCCCCGTTGTCTATCCTGGGTAAAGCTGGACTGGAATGCTCTCTCCGACTGACCCTTGTAGGTGATGATTTAACCCCACAGAGAGGAAGAAGGGGTCTGTTTTGTGAGATAGCAGAGAGAGAGAGCTGCTGTGTGACTTTGTATAAACTCCCACCCCTTTCTGAGCTCCCTGAGAGTGGGAGCTCGGCTTTGGCCTGTGCCTTCACTGGGTAACTATTTCTGTATGTTAGCCAAGCCTGGGTTTCAGACGGTGTTCATGGAAATTCTACGTAGAGGAGGGAGGCCTGGAGGTCCCAGAAAGGCCTAGGAGTTGACAGTATAACCAGGAAGCCCCATAGCTCCCTTGGCAAATCTGTCTTTTCACTCCTACCCAGACTCAAACCGCTGAGTCTTGCCTCCAGCCTGATGGCCTGGGAACACCAGGCAGGGCCCCCAAGGTTCTGTGCACACGTGGAGAAGTTGAGGCCAGAAATGACACGCCCCCGCCCCTGGTTCTGTAGTATAGGGAGGGAGAGCTAGCCTGGCCCCAGGTGTGGCGCTCCAACTATCCCTACCTAGAAGGTGACTGTCCTGTCCCGATCCTCCCAGGCCTGCCTCTAAAGAGCCGCCCCCATACCCCTAGGCTGCGATCAAAGAGCAACATTGCCATCTTGTGGCCATAGCTGACACTGCGTCTCTAAGCACCACAAACGCTTGCCTCAGGAACATTTGTATAAAAGGAATAAAAAAATGCGCTAAGAGCTGAGCGTTGGCGGCAAAAGCCTTTAGTTCCAGCACTCGGGAGGCAGAGACAGGCGGATCTCTGTGAGTTCCAGGCCAGCCTGGTCTACAGAGCGATTTCCAGGACAGCCTCCAAAACAATACAGAGAAACCCTGTCTCCAAAAACCAAAAAAAAAAAAAAGAATGCGCTAAGAGTCCAGTATTTCGGGTATTTCAAGATCTCCATTACAGGATGGAGAGAAGGCCCTCTTTTCTTTTCTGAGGTGTTTCAAGCCTCCGATTCCTCCTGCCTTCTCCACCTCTAGAATGCTAGGGTGACAGCCTTGCACCTACAAATGTATGTGGTGTTCTGGATCCACATCCCAGCCTCTTTCCTGGCTTTATTCTACAGAGCTCTTGTTACCACTCCCCGCTGGAATGCCACCTTCTATTCATCCGTTCTATCTGAGGACTTGGCTAGACCAGGTTTCACACACGCCCCCTCCCCCCAGTTCATAGTCATACACAATAATAGCTTTTTTAAAAATTGAGACAGTGTCTCACTGTGCAGTCCTAGCCGGCCTAGAAAGTACTATGTAGACAAGGTTAACCTCAAACTCACAGAGATGGGCTGCCTCTGCCTCCCAAGTGCTGGAGTTGAAGGTGTGAGCCTCCACATTGGGAATACTGTGTGTGTGTGTGTGTGTGTGTGTGTGTGTGTGTGTGTGTGTGTGTGTGTGTTCAGAAGGGATTGGAGGTTCATGTAAAGGCCACATAAGAAATGTGCATGCATGGGCACGCATAGTGGGGGTGAGGTATTTAAACAGGAAATGCCTTGCAGCCCCTCCCCTGCTCAGCAGCAGGACAGAAGGAGTATAAGAAAGAGTAGGTCGGGGACCTGGAGGGATGCTTCAGAAGTTGAGAGCAGTGCTGTCCTTCCAATGGACCCATTCACAACCATCTGTAACTCCAGCTTTAGGAGGATCCGGCCCTCTACTGGTCATTGTGGGTACTACACACATGTGGTGCACAGTCAAAACACCCATAAATACATAAAATAGTGATTTTAAGATAATTAAAAAGAGTCAGCAGTGAAGGCACCCCCTGGTTGGGACTTTAGAACAAATTAAGATGTACTATAAAGAGAACTAGGCTGATAGTCACGCGTGAGGCTAGAGTGTATATATATACACACTCAAGGTGGCAGAATCTGCATTGTCCACCTGGACCACCGGGATGGGCTCCCTTCAGCAGCCTTTCAAATAGCTGCGCACTTTGCAGCCCTGGCCTCGCCCACCCAAGTGTAAGCTAAAGAAAGGGCAGGGCGAGCAAAGGCTCCTCTCCTTGACTGAACGAGCGAGCGGCAAAAGTCCTTCTTGACGCCTTGTTGAGTGAGGGTGTGAAGGGAAGGGCTCTGGTAACCAGGTCCGACGGTGCCCACCACCAGCTGCGGGCGGCAGAAAGCAAGACAGACCCTGACGTCGTCAGCCACCATGCCACCTGCAGCAGGGCTGACCCCACACAGGCACGCTCTGAGATGATGACGTCATCTGCTGCCCACGCCTCGCGGCCCGAAGCAGCCTGGGTGACAGACACAGGATCGGGGAGACCCCTGAATGGACGGTCAGCCGTGAGTACCTAGCTCCCTGCAGAACAACTCAGAACGTGCGTCAAAGGGTGGAAGGAAAACAAAACACAAAAGAGCATCTTCTATTGTCTTGACTTCCAAGTAGCTTTCCAAATCGCCTGTTCCCAACAGAGATCCAAGACACAGGCACTGAGATAGCAAAACCTCGGGCCCAAGCTGGAGAGTCTTAGCGTGCGCTCCGGCCCTTCTCCCTTCACTCCGTATCCACCCCGCCCCAAGTGAGGGCATCACGTGACAGCATCGCTGCCCCCTCGCTTCTGCCAAGTTCTCTATTCCGTTCAGGGCGTGTCTCCTGCCGCGTAAGTATTCCTCTCTAGGTGACAATTTGAAGGACGCATGAGGCCCTGCTCTTAGAGTAGTCCTTGTTCAGCTTAATCAGTTCCCCTGAGGCGAAAGGAGGGGCCACCTGCAGCGTTTCACTGGTTTGGGGCTGGAGTTGCAGAAGGAGAGAGGGAG